GGCTGGCAACCTCACTGAAGAGGGTGGGTCGGTCTGCAGCAGATAGTAAAGAGCCAGAAGGAAGGCCAGGAGGCAGCCACTGATCACCCAGAGGCTCATAGCGACCCGCCACGGACAAATCACACAACGGTCGTCAAGCTCCTGGATAAAAACAGAGTGAAATAGGGAACTAGTGAAGGCTGGCTGGTCTTGGACTGAAGTGGGTCTTGGATTGAAACCCTAACCCTGACACAGGCTGTGCAGAAGGACCCCTGCCGGGGAAAAGGCAGCCCCGGATCCTGCGCAGAAGTCAGACCCAAATCTCGGTCTGCCCTCCTCTGGAGTGCCCAGAGAGCTGCCAATACTCCGGGGCTGGGGTCCTAGGGAACCTCAGGGGGCCCCCACCTTGGCCGAGGATTGGCCACAGAGAGGTGTTCCCCGACTGCTGCTTTTGGGGTGGCCGCTGGGTGTGGTCCGAAAAGGTAGGATGGCAGCCGCGATGCCCATCAAAGCCGGGTGGAGCTTCGATGTTCCTCTTGCGGCTGCAGAAGCAGTTGGTATCACAAATTCTGATCGGAAGGAACTTCGGGCACAACAGCTGCATCTTGGATTGTGAAAACCCATCGCTGCCAACGTTGCCTTTGCTGCACAGGAGAGCAAGGCGCTGCAGCCAGTGGTGTTCCCGGGTCAAGAGCGCGAGTGACGAAACGCACCAGGCTTTGCTTCTTGAATCGGAAGCCAACGGGAGCCAAGGCAGCTCTCCGCCGCTACTACGGGAAGGGCAGCAAAGGTGATCCGATGGCTGTCCTGTCCTGTTAACACCTCAAAGCAGCAGCAAAGGAAACTCGGGGAAGGGGAAACCGCCGTCCCTCAGAGCAGCGGCTTCCCTGCCTAAGGGGGACGTGCGAGGGAAGGCTGAGTTCAGGGTTGGAAAGAAAAAGTCCCAGAAATTAAGCTGGGAGAGAGGACCTCCCGCCCTTCGCGTGGCTCTCAGAGGCTTCCTCCACAAGCAGCAGCGAGAGCCCCCGAAGAAATACGTATTTCCACAGCGGAGGAACCTGCTTCCAGCTCCAGGATGTGTGAAACAAGCAGCACAAATCTCTCTCGAAGAAGTAAAGTTTTATTGGAAGCGTTTGCAAAGGCTGGTGGGCTTCGTTGCAAATAAGAAG